TGGGAGTTGAAGTCCACTCATCTTAAAGTGGCCAAGTTTGGACAACACTGCACTGAGGCATACGTGTTTGCTTGTTTTATGGCTTTGCATGTAGGAATCTAGCCAATTTGTAAATAGCAAGCTTAATGTATTGTGTGAACCCAGCCATAATAATTTATATTCGACCTTCTAGATCTGGGCTTCAAAAAATCCAGATAACTAGTAGATGGCACCAAAGACTTAGCGTTTCTGGACCTCTGCTGCCATCTAGAGGCCATCTAGATGTTTGTGGCCCAAACCTGGTAGCCCTAAACTCATTTGACAAACCGTGGCTAAATAACATATGGCTTACAAGAATTGGTGAAATAGGCTTCTGGTTTTAATGGTATTCTGGCTTGCAAGGGTTACTTATCTGCGGTGTCCTGAAAACTCCATTTCTTGCAACGATCACGAATGATACAGAAATTTAGCTTGAGTTAGATAGAAGGGCTACGTAAGGAAGGGAGTCTGTATTTTGTCTCTGTCAGTATATGTGGCATCTGAAGAGGAGACTTCAAACATGGCTATGCTGTTAAAGGTGTGCCTGCTCTGAAAATGTTGAACACAGAAAGCTGCGTTGGTCCATTTTGGCCTTGTTTTTTCTCAACCCCACCCTCTCCTTCTTCTTTGGTCTTCTCCACCACAGTGAAAACGCAGCTTGAGACAGGGATCTATTCTGCTTTTTTTGGACTGCTGCAACTCGTAAGATGCCACACACCCCAAGGTGCCGTAATAAGCAATAAAGTTCATTGCACCATAATCTTCCGATGGATCATCGAGCAAACCGGAGGGCTAATAACAATTAAAACGGTGATATTTGCAACGCAAGCGACAATAGGCGTAAAGAGAATAGAGAGGCATACTGTGACCATTTTATGTGCTGAAATGGCTCTCCAATTAGGTACAAATTTATTTGATAACCCTATCGATTCCAAAAACAAGCAGCCGTCCTTGTAATGTGTACAGTTTGCAGAATAGATTTAATTAACCTAGCACACCTACAATTGTGCCGCAAATAGCTTGTTCAACAGTCTGGCACTCTAGTTTACAACCGATACACACCGCTGCCGAATTTGAGGAACTCTTCCCAATTAAATGCTTCCTACTGCAATTACCTTAGAATTCTTTTTCTGAAGAGTTCATTCAGTTGAATCATTCTATAAAAACGGTCGGTCGGTATCTATCTATCTATCTGTCTGTCTGTCTATCTATCTGTCTGTCTGTCTGTCTGTCTGTCTGTCTGTCTGTCTGTTTCTCTGTCTGTCTGTCTGTCTGTCTGTCTGTCTGTCTATCTATCTATCTATCTATCTATC